GTTACATGATCAAACTTTACTAAAAATTTTGTTAAGAAAATAAACAATAAAAACGAATAATTGATCAAAATGGTTGATTTGTTTAAAATATTGGATATAGTTCATATTTCGTATATATTCAGACGACAATTAATTTTTAGAATTTTTAAATCTATTTATATTTTCTTATAAACAGAGTGATTTGTAACGAGTAAGATGAGTATAATATAATAAAACATTGCTAGATGTAGCTCACGTTAAATGAATCAAAATAAATCTCTGTTTTCATTTTTTTTCTTTCCTTCTCTATTTTCTATTTTGCGATCATACATGTGATTGTTTTAGTTATAGTGTGGGGGAAATCAAACTTATCCAAAAGATATTTGTGGAAAAACGTGAAGCTCTTTGTTAAGCAGTTAAGACAGGGTTCAAATAAAAGCACAGCCATGTTAGTTGAAGAGAGATGGTTTGGGAGAGGGGCTCTCTCTTGTTTGTGACAAATACTTGGCAACCTCCACAAATTCTCAAACACCCGGTTCTCATTGCTCCTTCCCATGTTGAAATGCAAGAGCTAAATAGCACATGTTTCCCATCAAGCCCCTCATTTTCAATTTCTTCATTATTTTCTTCAGAATTTCATATAATTATTGTCTAATTAATGGGTTACGACTTAAGCATCTCCTCAAACTTTATATTTATGCTTAAATTGAAGTTACACCTTCTAAAGTAGTCAATTTGTTTGGTACATTTAGTTGAACATAACATGCATTTTCTGGTAGGATATTTGCATTGAAGATAAAATTAAATTTTTACTTGGCTATTTAATTTAGAAGATTAGTTATCTGTCACTTGTCATTAGAAGAATATGAAGCTCTTAAATTTTTGCAGCCTGAGGAGAAATTATATACTTCATTGTAGAGGAAGGATGGGTTTAGTTAGGACCCAAATGGACCATCATGATCATTTGTAAAAACGTTGAATATTAGGTTTAACAAACATCATTTATTGTGTGAAATAATTAGAGTAGAAAGGCATTTGAATATTTGAATAGTGCCAATGGTAGACAAAAAGAGCCACGACCAACAATTTACATCCACATTAGTAGGAAGGGTACCAAATGAGGCCCCTCACGTTAATTCGTTAGCAAAAGGCTTCGAAAGTATTGTTCCCCTCAACTTCCCCATACATCATATGGGTGGTATTTTGTGAAACAGTGACCAAAATATCACTGTTCACTAAATTTTTTACCTAAATGCCACACGAACAATGTTATTTTCCAATATACCACGCGGGCAAGTTCGCTACAGTGCTCAACGAACTTCGTTTGCTGATCTGTCATCTTTGTGGTGGCCACCTGGTTCGTTACTAGGAGTAGCAAACTAGGTGGTCAAAAATATCAGTATGCTCTGAGTATTGTCAGGACAAGTGGCAGCATAGAGAAGTTCGCTATTGGACACAACAAACTACGTGCAATGGTCAGGAAAAAAATAGCCGTTAAGATGGACAAGTTCGCTAGATTATATAGCGAACTATGTCCAAAATGATTTTGTCCCAAATTTAAAATATTTATATAGGAAATATTAACCTAGGGGCTGTTGGCGTGTGTGGGGTGATAAATGATTTGTAATTTTGCAGTATTGGGTCTTTTATGACTCTACTCTCTTTTTTTAGTACACTAAAGGGGCAAGGCCCAAAGAAAAACTACAAATTAAGAGCTTCAGAGTCCAATTAAGGACCCAGCTCAACACGAGCTACAAGCAGCATAACATAATTTTCCCTGATAGTGGAAGCCATTTTGGATAGCCTATCCGCACAAGAGTTTCCATCTCTGCCAGTATGTTGAGGTAGGGGGCCCTCATCCTTTTTACGCTCTATGGCCTGGATGGCCATTAAACAATCAATTTCAACAATTAGAAGAGTTGTTTTCCTCTCCCAAGCTACACACAAACCCGTGTAAATAGCCCAAAGCTCAGCAATGAAAGGGGAGAAAATTCCAATTTTATACATAAAACACGTTATCCACTTCCCCTTATCATCCCTAATTAGACCTCCATAGCAAGCTGGCGTCTGATTGTCTTTAACAGAGGCATCAGAATTAAGCTTCCACCATCCTAAGGCTGGAGGGCACCAGATTGTTCTCGACGCAGCATTGACGGTGATATGATACTGCTGGTGCATAGCTAGGCTAATTTTAACTTCTTTGATATACCCAGAGATCAGGAGAGAAGGATTAGTAGGCCTGATGAACGATGGATCATGAGCAGCACTGTTTCTTCACTTCCAAAGGAAGCAAATAGAGATAGCAAAAATGTCCTTCCAGTTAAAAACCTGTGCGTGGGACCATCCTCTTAACAAGTTCTTGCGCAGCCAGTCTTTCAAAGGAAGACTATTGAAATCCGAAGGTATTTTGCCAACAAACCAGAAATTCCATAGCGGTTTTGCTTTGCTGCAATCACGAAGAACATGCAAGATGTTCTCTACTTTGTTGATACAGGTAAGACAAGCCGAGGATCCTCCCCATTTGGAAGTATGCTCATTGGTAAGGATTTGGCCATGGGAAACCATCCACAAGAAAACACGTATCCTCTGAGGCCCTTTCCAATCCCTAATCAGATTCCACATTGGGTCAGGCTCCAAAGAATCAAAATTCATTCTCCTGCTGTATGTTACCTTGACTATGTTCTTGTTATTAGTAGTGAAGTTCCAAGTTAAATAGTCCTCCCCTCTATCATCCGCAGGAGGAAGAGTAGCACTTATAGCTTGCACAGCCTCACTGTTAACATACATGTGTATAGCATCATAATTCCAATTCCCAGAACTTAGATCCAACATATCAGTAACCTTGGCTTCCATATCCCTTCCATGAACATCCGGTAACATGTACTCCAAGAGAGGATTTTCAAGATTAGTCCATCTATCCTGCCAAAAAAGAACATCATTGCCATTCCCAATATTCCAATTGAGATTATGAAGGAAATCCTTCCAAATCCTGCCCATTCCCTTCCACATGTTTGAATCATACTGCTTAGTGATGAGTTGTCTTCTGGTATCGGCTTTCCTTTCATATTTTCCTAATAGCACTTACACCCAAAGGGTTTCCTTGTTATTCAAAATCCTCCACACAATTTTATACAAGAAAGCTTCATTTGGATCTTTAAATTGTGGATTCCTAGACCCCCTGTATTCTTGGGTTTACACAAGTTATCCCAAGCTATAAGATGATCTTTTTTCTTCTCTCTAGTGTCTGCCCATATGAATGACATCTGGATTTGTTAAATTTCATTACAAACAGTGATCGAGAGGCTTTCATGCTGCATATGGTACACAGGAATAAAGCTCAACACTCAATTAGCTAAGGTGACCCGGCCTGCAAAGGATAGCATGTGGCTATTCCAGCTTGTCAGGCGGGCCTTTACTCGATTTAAAACATTGGTGTAGTTCTTCCTTTTTCCCCTTCCATGATACAACATAGATCCCAAGTATTTCCCCAAGGAGTTAGTAGCCTTAAAGCCACTGGCCATGGTGATAGCTTCCTTGGTGGATGGACAGGTATTCTTGGAAAAATAGATGGAAGTTTTTTCAATGCTAACAACTTGCCCAGACATATCACAGAAGCTCTTCAAATAGTCCATCATGGTCTCAAGTTGATTCATATTAGCTTCACCAAATAGGACTAAGTCATCAGCGAACATGAGATGAGATATTATAGGCCATTTCCTACCCACCTTCATAGGTTTCCAGCTTTTATTCCTGACTACTCCAGCAATAATGTGGGACAACTTGTCCATACATAGCACAAACAGGTACGGGGAGATATGATCTCCTTGACGAATTCCTCTTGAAGGGGTGAATTGGTTAGAGGCACTACCATTCCAGAGGACTTGGAATTTAGAGGAGGAGATGCAGGCCTGGATTATATTGACCAGATTAGTGGGGATACCAGCTTCCACCAACACTTTGCTAATGACAGACCAATTTAATCTATCATAGGCTTTGGCCAGGTCAATATTGATTGACATAAAGGCTTTCTTCCCCGTGAGCCTGTTCATCGAATGAGTCATTTCTTGGGAAATTATTACATTGTCGTGGATTATCCTCTCAGGGACAAAGCTGGTTTGAAACGGCGAGATCAACTTCTGCATCACAGGCTTAAGCCGATTGACCACAATCTTGGTGATAGCTGTGTAAAGAACATTGCACAGAGCAATGGGTCGCAGCTGATCTATTCTCTCAGGATTCTCCACCTTGGGGATGAGTACCAGGAGAGTCTCATTAATTTTATGAATTTCCTCTGGCTTGCGGAAGAATTCTCTTATGTCATTGCAGACTCCTTTTGCAAGGAACTCCCAGTTGCTCTGGAAGAAAATAGCAGGGTACCCATCCGGCACTGGAGCTTTATGGGTGCCCATTTGGAAGAAAGCGATCTTGATTTCAGCTGTAGAAACAGGTTTACACAGGTATTGGACCTCAGAGGTCTCAAGTTGGGGCCACTGGTGGGAGGTGTCTCTCTAGTACATTTTATGATTATCCTCATTGAAAAGATTGATATAAAAGGAGCATACCAGATTCTTGAGCTCCAGGTCTTCTCTGATCCAAAGACCCAAATCGTTCTTCAAATCCTAAATCATGTTCCTTCTTCTTCAAGCAATGGATGTCGTGTGGTAGTATTTTGTGTTACGATCAACGTCACGTATCCACACAGTCCTGGCCTTCTGGAACCATAGATGCTCTTCGAGCTCTAATGTCTTATCCAGCTCCCCTGTCAGCTCTACCTCTAATTTTTCTAGGAAAGGATTGTGTCCTTTCTCCAGATTCCTCTAAATGCCAGCCAGTCTCCTAATAATCTTCGCCTTCTTCTTGTGGATGATGCCACACGTATTGGTATTCCACTCTTTGAGCTTGGGAATTAAGCCAGCAAGATTACAATCAGTACTGTCCTCCTCTTTCCAATTCCCCTCAAGAAACTGTTTGAAGTTGGGGTGCTCAAGCCACGGCGGGAATAATCGAAAAGGACGATTTTTTCAACCAAAAATATCTTTATCTAAGCTGAGAATGATGGGACAGTGATCAGAATAAACACGAGGTATCACATGAGCAACTGCTTCATCAAAGGCCATCCTCCATTGGGCATTAGCCACAACCCTATCTAATCTTTTAAAAACTCGATCCAGGTGCTGAAACTTCGGGCCTTTCCAAGTAAAAAGAGGACCAGAATATCCCAAATCCAGAAGTTGACAGTTATCCAGAACAGAACCAAAAGTAGCACACACATTGAGGTCCACAGGGGCACCTCCTCTTTTCTCCTCTGTCGATACTATGTCATTAAAATCCCCTGCAAGCATCCAGGGCTCCTGGATCATTGCATGTTGTCTCCTGACAGTATCCCAAAGCTCCTTTCTTTTCTCCAATCTAGGATTAGCATAGATGGCCGAGAACAGGAATGGTTTCTTATTATGGAAAGTAATTCGAGTGAGAATGTATTGCTCCCCCTTCTCTACTAACTCCACACTGAAACTAGCTTGGTTCCACATAACCCAAATCCCGCCAGCAAAACCCACATACTCTTCTATAATAGAGTCAGTATAACCAAGTTTCCTTCTGATTTTGGAAGCTTTAACCCCTCACTCTGGGTTCCAACAAGATAACTAAATCACATTCATGTTTTTCATTAAAAGTATCCATAATACCTTTAAAATGTTTCTTGGCCGCTCCACGACAGTTCCAAATGAATACTTTCATTGGAGACAGTAGGTGGCTAGGGTGGAGAACTGAGCTCCACCATTTTCGGTATCCTTCCTCCCATTGTGGGGCAGTAGTGGACGACCCTCCTCTGCATGTCTCAAGGGGTTGTTGCTTCGAGATCTCTGAGCACTTAGCTCCTTCTTCACCTTTGGGGCTACATTCTCTTTCTGTGCTACTCATTTCCAAGCGCTCAAATGATTGCATGTAAAGACATTATTCAGAGCACCTTCATTATCTTCCTTTGACATATTGCTCATTATTAGCATCACTTCTTCTTCCTTGGCTTTTTGACCCTTATGCCCCTTAATTAATAATTAATTACCAAATTGCCCCTCATTCAAAACTATTTCGAAAATTTACCCTTCCCAACAAACATAACACTAATCTGCCCCTGTTTGACCGTTGACCACGAAGCCTACCCGGGTACACCATTACCTACCCGGGTAAATTTTGAAACTTTTTATCTACCCGAGTATGTAGGGGTGTACCCGGGTAGAGTTCTTGAATCTGGGAAAATGTTTGAATTATTTACCCGGGTACGTAGCAGTGTACCCGGGTAAATCGCGTCCAGAAACCCCAATATGTATGGGTTTCGGCCATTGTTGCGAGGTATAGGGTTTTTGAAACCCCAAATCTTTCTCTCTTACCCTCTCTAATCCGAAACATCACACATATTTCATCTCATCATTTCAGAAAGCTGAATCTTGGGGGGACATTGAGATTACATCTCCACACTCCCATTTTGTGCTAAAAAATCTGAACCAACCTCCAAACCCAAAACCTAGATCTAATTTTTGTGTGAAAGATGAGTTCAAGTCCAAACATGGTTCCTATAGTTGTTTACTACAATGGGAGGCATTTTGAAGGTCCGAACGGTGTCCGATTTGAAGGAAAAACAAAAATGATGAAAATCAAAGTGGGCACTACATGCAATGAACTGAAGGAGAGAATTCTTCAAAAAATGGGGTCAGAAGGCATACATTCCATCCACCGCATGATAGCCAGGTTAGAGACTGTAGTGGATATGGATACAATATACTACATTGGAAACGATATAAATGATGATGAAGATGTGGAGTTCGTAACAGATGCGTTTGTTGAATGGAAAGTATTAAAATATATTGAGATATATGTTGAAGTTGATGTTGGACAATCTTCATCTTTACCGGTGCATACAACCACTACTGCACACTGTACCGGTCAAGAAGATACAGTTGTACGATCTTCTGCACCTCCTCAGGTAGCATGGGATGAGGATGAAGAGGATGAAGACGAGGACTATGTGGACAGCGAAGAGGAGGGAGAACCTGAAAGTGCTATTCCAGAAGGTGATTCGTCAGACACTGATGTGGACGGTAATTTTGAGGCTGACATGAGCGCCGTAAGTCTCGGTACCCCAGCCTTGTCACCACTTCATGTCGACCCAGTCAGTAGTAGTTATTAAATTTGAATATTTGCTTTAGACAATTTATTATTTGTGGTAAGTTATTAAATTTGACATGATCTTTAGATGCAGGGTCTGAGGAGCCATTCTGGAATGAAAGCGAACATTATTCATTCATTAACTGGGCGCACCCTAATGACGAGTTGGAGATCCTATATGGCGATGATGACTTGCACGGAGGTTGGAAGTTAGGAGATCCGTTATTTGTGCAACAAGAATTTGGGTCCAAACCAGAATTGCAACATGCTGTGAAGATACATTGTATGAAGGGGCGCAGGACAGCCATAGTTGAAAAAAGCGACGAGTCAAGATTTGTTATGAAGTGTAAAAACCATGCTGACGGTTGTCCCTGGTATATGAGGGCAATTAAGCCGAAGAAGGGAGCTAACTGGGTGGTCCGTAATTGGGGTCAAGGTCACACATGCCTAAATCAAGGCCTAGCACAGGATCATAGACAGTTGGATTCAAATGTCATTTGTGCGGCTATAATGAGTATGTATTCTACTGTTTATTTAATGATTCAGATTAATTGAGAATATGGTAAAGTTAATTTTTTTTTTCCAGATATGTTAAAGGAAGATCCATCCACAAGACCAGCTCTGATACAGGAGAGGATACAGGGAACATATTGATACAACATAACGTACAGGAAGGCCTGGAAGGCAAAAATGAAGGCCATCGTTAAGTTGTTTGGTGACTGGGAGAAATCGTACGCATTCTTGCCAAATTGGCTAAAGTATATGACGGAGGTGAATGTGGGTTCTGTGTTCAAACTTGATACAAATCAATGTTTTGATGAACGTCGGGTTTATACAGACAGGGCCGTATTTCAAAGGGTTTTTTGGACATTTCACCAATGCATTGAAGCATTCAAACACTGCAAGCCTATAATTCAAATTGACGGCACTCATCTGTATGGGAAGTACAGAGGTACTCTATTGATTGCAACATCTCAGGATGGAGATGGATTTCTGCTCCCTATTGCCTTTGCTGTTGTTCCTCCAGGTGAGTAAATAATTTTGCTTTGGGGTATGTGAAAGCATGTGACCCTTCTTTGCCACTTCATACTGTAAATATTTTCTGAGCTCATCCCTATTGACTTTGTTGTTGTTCCTCCAGGTGAGAGGTTGGATGATTGGTCCTGGTTTCTTAGCCTTTTACGTTTTCATGTCACACACAGGCATGGTATTTGTCTAATATCCGATCGTCATCGAAGCATCATAAGGGCGGTGAAAGACCACGGAGGGTGGCAGCCTCCATATGCTTATCATGTATTTTGTCTACGTCACATCGGAAGCAACTTCAATACCCGTTTTAGGAATGTGGAATTGAAGAAAACGTTGATGAAATTAGGTAATGTACGGTATAATTACTCACATTTTCAACCATTTGAAGAAAACGTTGATGAAATTCACTAACTAATGCATATGTCATGGTTTTTTGCAGGGTACACATGTTCAAAGATAAATTTCGACATTAGGTACAAGGAATTTATCGAGAACAATCCTGAAGTTGCTTCATGGTTGGATGCGATTCCGAAAGAGCAATGGTGCAGGTCGTATGATGAGACAGGACGTAGGTTTGGTCATATGACAACTAACCTATCTGAGTGTGTGAATAAGGTGCTTCGTGGAGCACGAAATCTGCCTATATCTGCATTGGTCAAGATGACATTCAGTAGACTCGTTGAGTATTTCGTCAAGAGACGTGAAGGGATTGAAAAAGATATCTCACAAGATTGGATAATTTCAAAGAAGGTTGAGGCAGCGTTGCAAAAAAATGATGAATTGGCTGGCACTTATCGTGTGAGGATATATGATAGTGACCTGTTATTGTTTGAGGTTGAGGATGCCTACAATCAATCTACACACGAGGTCGGTGACATCATGAGAGTGGACTTAATCAATCGTACATGTCAGTGTGGTAGGTTTACAGCAAGGAGGTATCCCTGCAGTCATGTATTAGCAGTTTGCAAGGTGGCCAAGCTAAACCATTATGATTATGTGGATCATGTTTTCAAAATTCCAACCATTGCTAAAGTATATGCTGCACACTGGTTTCCTATTGGCAATGAATTGTTGATTCCATCCGTTGTTGGGCCTACTGTAATTCCGGATGCTCAGTTGGTACGTGCAAAAGGAAGACCAAAGTCTTCAAGGATTCAGAATGAGATGGATTGGGTTGAGTCTCAACCCTCTAGCAGTCAGAGCAGATGTAAGCATTGCAAGCAAGTTGGACATAACATTCGTACATGTCCACTGAGTATGGGCACCCTCGCCAATTAAACCCTCCAAGCGTGAAACCCTTGTGTCCAACCGTGCAACCCTTGTGTCCATCTGGTTTCGCCACTTGCTCGTGCTCTGTCTATATCCTCTAAAGTCAGTAGTCAGATCATATAAGGATGCCATGACATGATCAAGTGTCCATCCACCCTCAGGAGGAGCTGGTGGTCGCCGACTGCGGGTGGGACGTGTCGGTCTGACATCAACCTCAGCAACGCCATCATCATCGTCATCATCATCAAGGCCTACATCATAAACCATGAAAAACAAACTTCAATACCACATTAAAAATTAAACAACACAAAATTGCATAAACTCATAAAGACCAACACATCACCTGCAGGTGCATCCTCCATCTCAGCATCGTGGTGGAATGGGATCTCAGGTGGTTCTGGTGCCTTCTTCCACGTCCAGATACCCGCTCTGTTCGGTAGGATCCCACACTGCTTCAGGAGCCTCTCACCAAATATAGCATTCCAGCCTCTGGCGGTCTTCAAGGTCTCTGTTGCCATAGGCACTCCAAATCTATGCAGAATCTTCTGCACCAGAAATGCAAAAGGCAATTCAGCCTTCTTTGACTTGGCTGCCTTCCACATCAGTATGCATATGTAATGCCTCCAGTTCACCTGCTGACTGTGAAGGAGGGCCCACAGGATGACAAAGTCCCCTTCCAGCACCTTTGAGTGATTATGCGGGCGCTGGAAAATAATATGTGTCACCACATAATGAAGAATGCGAGCAGAAACTGACAAGTTGCTAACAGGATAATGAGCAAAATGACCGGGCTCAGCGTCTGCCCTCCTAGTCTCTGTAACAATGGTCTCCCGGTTATAATCACCAAATATATGATGGCTGTCTCCATCATATAGTGCTGCTCCTGTGACACCATCAAAATCGAACCCCAGTAGCTCCGTCCAGATAGGAGCAGTCATTATGATATCAATCCCGCAGACACAGGAAGTCAGCTCGCCTTGCGAGTAGCCAAGGTTCTGGTAGAAGGCTCTTACCATAACCTCCGAGTATGGGCACCGCATCTCCGCCAGGTGAAGTAAATGTGTCTGCT